AGTATTTTACCCATCTGAATACCCCCTCCACCCCAATTCTTTTCCATAAACAATTTTGCAGCCTAAAAAAAAATAAATTAGGAAGTCCATGTTCTGCTAGGCTCCACCTTGAGTTAGTATGTTCATAAGATTCTATTCGTAACTCACCATTTCTCTACATCTGAACTGTAGCCCGTAAAGTCTTAAATCAGCCTTTCCCATTCTGGGGACCTCCCAACGTGTTGGCGCCACATCTTTCATAATTCCCCAGCCTGTATCAATTGTGGGATGCTAGGTTGGGATATCTCATAATAAATGAGCATACAACTTAAGTTAGTTAAGATGTCATAGAACTCTTGTTCTTGTTTCCAGCTTAAAAGACTGTCTTCTGGTCAATCATGCAACCAACATTTTAGTTTTGAAAATTCTTAAGTATCAAATTCTGTTTTGGGGATTACAAATTTCTATATATTAATAAGTGGCAATTCTGAGTAACAGATGGACACATTGACATCATAATTCTATCATAATTCTCCTGAAGCTCATATGAGGGTGGTCAGTGCAAAGGAAGAAACTACATACCCCTATTAGTTACACTAATGGGCTATAAGTGGTATAATATAGCACTTATCTTGGCTAGTGTGATCTGTTTCCATTCTTGTTTTTCTCACATTGCCATTAGACAGGAGAATGACATTATAGATTATACATGGTTTTTACCTGCTGATTTAGAGCATTCAACTTGAAAATATTTTATTTTTTTAATGTAGATTTTAAATTGGGGTTGTCCATTTTTAATACATACTGCTTACCCTGCTAATTATGATATGGCTCATTGGACGCAAATGCTCTTGTTCCTAGTGATAAACAGACAGAGCAGATGGCTCTAAATGTCATCTGATTCTTACAGAGACCTTTGGATCACTTACAGCATCCTTGTTTACCACGGACGCTTAAGTGTGCAGAATTTTTGCAACCTTGCTATGCTTTTTAAAATCTGTTGTTCTTAATGTGACACAAGAAAATTCTAGGGTGATGGAAAAAGCAAGGTCAGAGAAGGAGTCAGCAAGAGAACATTCAAATGTCATGCTTATTAATGGGCGGGTTTCTTACTATTGGTCTGAAATACCACTGGATCCAGGAGTACAAAATGTAAATCTACCATACTGTGAGATTACTGGGTATAGAAGACTGGATTGACTGGTGCAATGTGGCGGTTATGGTACTGAAATGGAACCAAAAGAGACTCAAGTTCAAGTCCGTCCTCATCCACAGAGGTACACTGAGTGATTTGGGCCAGCCACTTTTTCTCAGCCCAACCTATTTCACAAGACTGCTGCTTTGAGTGTAAAATAAATGGAGACCTCTATGTATAGAGCCTCAAATTCTAAAAAAAATAAAAATAAAAATAGCAGGGTATAAGTGTGATAATCAATAAGTCAGTAAATAAAAAAAAAAATCAAGACTTTCCAGTCTGGCTATCATTTATGAAAAGTCAGA